GGAAAAACAAATATATGATATTTTTATCGGAAACTAAAACATTTTTCGGGAAAAAACCTACATTACAGTTTTCAAAAGTTTCGTTTGGACAAAAACTGGGAATTTTATGAAAATTTTTCAGGCACAAAAGGGGCACTTTGCTCCTGTAAAAATGGCACTTGCCAAAACTTGGGGGGGCCATGGCCCCCCTGGCCCCCCCGGTTCCTACGCCCCTGGTTAGGTAGGACTCAAACCATTTCAGTTCAATATCATGTATTCCAAATTGATTTTTTAGCTTTCTCAATAAAATCTTATGTGTAAAAGTTGGAAAGGTGTGTAGGGTGGAAAGGTGTGTAATCAGCAAAGGTGTGTTTTTGCGTAAAAGGTGTGTAAAATAACAGACCTTTAATAAGTACAAGGTGTGTAATACAAAGGTGTGTAATTTTACACACCCAATGGTAATTACACACCTTGGCTTCCATATTGCAAAAGATACTGTAATTATACACACCTTTTTTCGAAAAGGTGTGTATTTATACACAATTTGGTGTGTAAAATTACACACCAGTTTTTAAAGTGCATAGTTTTGTGGTGTTACTATATATGGATAAAGCAGGTAACTTACGTGGCGGTTGTATGCGCCATGGAAATCAGTGCGAGAACTTGTACATGTGCATGGATGTCCTGCATTTGAACATTTATAAAGTATAGGCCTATTGATGAATAACCTCGGCTTATTTCCAGATGTTTATTTTCTTCGATATGTTTACCAAAAGGAATACAAAGGGAGGAAAATAAATCTCTGGAACTATAAAGCCGATCGAATTATTCGTACATGTTCAAATTGAACAGTGTATGTATAACCTATTTATAACCTCGGCTTAGTTCCAGAAGTTTATTTTGCTCTCTTTGTATTCCTTGTGGTAAACAATTAGAAGAAAATAAACCTCCGGAACTAAGCCGAGGTTATTCACTTATTCATCAATACTTTATACATGTTCAAATGCAGGACATCCATATGTACACTAATTATGTGATGTGGCGTTCTACATGGTATATTTCTCGCACTGACTTCCTTGGCGCATACAAGCGCCACGTAACTTACCTGCTTTATCCACATATATAACGCTACAAAACTATGGCGATGACCATGCTACAAAACTAAAAACAGGCCCACGACTTACGCACGCAACGTAAACAACAGCCTGGCAGGCGTGGCTATGCCATTGCTTTTTCGGTCTTTGATTTTTGGGTTTTTGATTTTCAGTCTTTGATTTTTCAGTTTTTGATTTTTGGTCGTTGATTTTTGGGTCTTTGATTTTTCAGTATTAGTCTAGGACCTGTATATGAGTTTGTATGCGTTTCATTTACCACAGGTAATCTCAACTGTTTTAGGGTAAAATGACCATGGCGGTCAACATGGCATATGTGCCAAAACCTGAATCCTGGACGAAAGTCCTGAAAATGACCCCG